AGTCGTATAGCTACCAATAAACGTTTGTGGCAGGTTTTAAATACGAGTTCATTGTGTGAATTCATAAATGGAATTGGATAGTCACTTCGAGCGATGGGTTTGAAGGGATGATGCCACGGTGTCCGTGATGAAATTGTCTCAACATACCTGACTGCAAAGTATGTGGCACCACAACTAGTTTACCGAACATGAAATGTCGTTATGCGATAGAAGAAACAGCTCCTTTAGAAAAATTCATGGCAAGTTCCGATCTTGAAATCATTGAACCAACTGGTTCGACTATTGAATGCCATGTCCTTCAATAATCTGCCCTTTGTTATCGCAAATCGGATCGTTGTAGCTTTAGGTTTCCGGCGTAGCGTATCTTGACTATCGTATCGAATATCAAAACGAACGGTGATTGATGATTGACCGTGAGCCTCGGATTTTTTTCTGAAGTGTGCTAATTGCTATGTGATGCATTTTTTCACTAGACTGATCTTTAAATCATTTGAAATGATATTATTTCCCCCAGAATTGTACATGCACGGTCGTGTTTACCAAAATACACAAATTTCTCGGTGGGATGATGAGTATGACGATCCCGAGAGTTCGTCAAGCAAAGAAATTGAGCAGTTGACCGAAATGGTAAGTTCCAGTTATCACAAATCGTTGTTAATTCGACCAGGGAGGAACCTGGTTCTCGTTTATCTTTAAGCCTGTCTATGTGCCTGATTGAGTATAATAACGCAATCCGTGTTCAGTTATCCCTGTGGTATCTACGGCGTGGCAATGGACGACTTGCCAGGGATCACGTTACTGTGCTTTGTACTTTTACTCTGACTCACACGTATCCAGTACGGTCGAGCAAATGCCGACACATTCACACGATTGCGACTGATCCCAATCCGGTTCTGATTCATGTAGGGAGAATTCTCAGGAGAAGGTTAGGCTTCTCCTCACATTAAGATGCTTGAGCTCCCGTATTGGGGTCCCAAGGACAGCAAACATCTACCGCTTGAAACTTGTCCGTAATGGCTGGTGACCGGCGTCAATCTGGCCCCGGTTGCGAAACTCGTTGGTTGATTTTTGCTTGAACTATTTCCGCATTTAGTTCTTCAATTGTTGTGAGACATTTGCCAACTCTATCGAATGAGTTACGCGTTGACTAGATGAATGCGTATGGTTGCATTGTAGCGCAAGAGTTGAGAGAGTGGTAGAACGAGAAACAAATCCTCACTTGCCCCATATTGGTGTGTGACGTCCACGGGAGTTAGTTAGTGAAGAGGGGGCACTTGTTTCGATACTCGATTACATTTTCCTTGATAGCGAATTACGTGTTGTCCTATGTATTCTCTTTTTTCTTTGTTGTTAATTACCGCAGCTAACGGAGGCACTGAAGAATGTCTCAGAGACATTTTTCAGTGCTTTCGAGATCGTACGGATGGAGTTATTCAACGTCTGTTCGTCTGTTGGCGCACGTGTGACCTTCAATATTGAAGCGCCCAAATTCCCATGGGAAGAAATTGATGCTGTTTTTGAAGAGATCAACCATAAAATTTTCGATATTGGTTTGAGACTTTGTTCATCCGGAAAGTTAACATTTTTACGAATCGGTGATGCGGACACTCTATGGGGCATCCGAAAGCAGACACATTTGTAATTTTCCCCATTTTCGTCTCGGTGTCAGGTGGACTGAATATTGCTCAAATGCCTGAGTGTTCTCTCGATGTCCATTTGTGTGTACCACGCTCCGTTGGAGTCCCCTCTTTTTCAAGATCTTTTTCGTCCAACTGAGACAAAAGGAATTAAGTTCCCCTTGAACGAACGATCCTGTTGATTTATATTTGCTATCGGTTCTGTATGAACAATTTGGCACTATTGTGAGTGATGTCTGATTTCACTGGTTTCGAGTTAAGCTGTTTATTTAGCCGGGGGTGACTACTGTTATACCTGTTTTATTGATTGGAGCCGTATTGTCTCCGATCAATGTAAGTGAAAATGGATGAGTGATTGATCCGCCGAACAGCTTACATCAGTGCTGAAACCAGCGCGCGTTGTCCGCGTTTAAAATAGTCGAACGGACTTTCCGTCGAATACGGTGTGGACTGTACAAATAGGCAGAATATACTACTCAGATGTTGTGTAGTTATCCAATGAGATCTATAGTTTGGATCAAACGTGAAAACCACAGAGGAAATAGTTTAATCAATATAGCCTGCAAACTTCTCGCCGGTATCATATTCCGCACGTGGACCGTGTACGCGTGAGAACCAGGCCGATTTCAGACCTTGTCGAGGCTGTATTGACCACATCTTCACACTTCGTCAAATTCTAGAACATAGACACTCCTTTCGTAGACCCACCATTTCTATCTTACTTGATCTAAAAGCGGCTTTCGACTGAGTTTATTTCAATATTGAACTGCACATCATTCCAGATGCACAGCATAAAGGGCACGCTTGATCCTGATCGTAGTTGTCATGATGAACTTGGGTGATTCAGTCTCCCGATTTTGTCAGTGCCCTAGCGACCACAACCTGTAGCTCACCCGAACAACAAACGTTGCCGGGCCAGTTCAGTGAACTTGTGCGCCCATTAAGAGTATAGTCGCGGAGCTCCCCTCTCTGTCTGAGTGGAATATCCGATAGACAAAGTAGTCAGCCTAACTACAGATAATATTTCCACGAATCCGATATTTAGAAAACTATTGTACGATAATGAGGACAAACTACCGTACGATCAAACCGTATCAGCCCTTCGGTAGAGTTGCAGCTGAATTGTACCGTAGGGCGTTCTACTGAAATTATTCAAACAAACTACCATCCTGTGGGTCTAGTTCGATTTGATTTGCTTCAAAACTTTGAAAACCTTAGTTGGAGAAGCAGGGTTGATGTGTTCTGGTGAATGGGAAGAGGACGGTAGCGAATTCGAGCGCTATAGAGCAGAAAAATATCGATTTAGTAGATCCATAACAGGACAGAAGTTCTCACGTGATCCACATCTAGCGAAATTTCTTGCATTTGATCTTGTGCTCTGGTGCATTGTTCTTCAGTTGCTCAAGCCAGCTGCGAGCACAGACCAATGGTCGATTATGATGCCACCACCTTCACAGTGTTGTAGACACTGTATCGTTGTGGTTTAAATTATCCAGCGGAATGACTGCAGAACAGGACGGTGTGGGATCAAGTGGCGTCGGTGGCGAAGCCACGGTTCGTCTTCCGATATTTGAGGAACAGTGGGAATGTTAGAATAAGGGCTTATGGGCCGTCCCACTCATTGTGATGACGACGTTGAACGCAGCTACAGAAACGTGAGAGCCGAAAGATACAGGGACTGGTAAAATGGTCGCTGTCACTAATTGTCAAGCCCGCGTGTTCTGTTCAAATCTTGGTTGCCACGACCGCACACAGCAATACAATTGCAACCACTTTCGACGAGACGGTATCGCGAACATGTGGTGTCAGATGCACACGGCTGGATTGCAGAGGTCACGGCCGTAATTATTTCGTGTCCCAATTGATGCGTTAATGATCACGCTGGTACGATGCGGCCCTATTTTAATTTATTTCCACTTCGCATGCAACCTGGTGGAGAACGCCCGATCGACTGTTTGATTGGGCCGGTTTGCGGTGCGAGATCTCAGAAATATTGTTTGCAAAATGGCATCAGGGTCACTCGAGCCTTCACTCTCGGAAAGTTTTCGGTATTGAAACCCATATCTAGGAGCCTTAACACGCGACATAAGGTGGTTCTTAAACCGAGAATAATTCTCGTGTACCATTACTCGTTTACAGTTGATTTCGTTAGATACACGTTCCGGAGGTCTGGAAATTAGGGAGCATAGCAAGTCATCACTCGATGGTGAGGTTTTCTAAATCGCCATCAGAATCCATAAGGTGTCTTGATCTAACTGTGAATCCAGCAATATTATAGTAGTAATAACATATACAATCTATAAGGAATTATAATATAATGATATGGTAATAATAATATATAATATATGATAAATAATACATAAAACAATATAACAATGAAATATAATATAATAATAGTGATAATATGATCTCACGAAAAAGGCGCACGCAGCTGGGTGTTGCACGATTTTCTCTCCGGTTCTGAGGTCATTCTATCACTCT